TGGCCTCAAACTCACAGAGATCCGCCTGTCTCTGCCTCCCAAGTGCTGGGATTAAAGGCGTGCGCCACCACCACCTGGCTGTGTCTTTTTTTATATAAAGAATAATGACAGTTTTCACAGGAAACAATAACTAATTTGTTCAACACATGCTTATAGCAAAAGCATCATTTTAAAGCTTTTAATAGTTACACAGAAGTGGTCTCACACACTCAACTTGGTATATATTATTCTACCCTTTGGGGTGTGCTGAGTTAGAATTCAGGGTATTGAATATGCTCGACACACATTCTGTTGGGCCACGCCCTTTCTTCTCTTTTGGAGTGGCAATGTTTATTCTGTGCCATTGTACTTTGGAAGTGTGTGATTTGCTTTTACAGAGGGCTCTAGGTAAGGGATTGCCTTGAATCAGACAAGACTGGGCTTGACTCCTTTAAGCAGTGTGGAGACTGTAGGACTATGGGGAATGTTTGAAGTTAGACTAAAGAAATACACTTGACAATCTGATGTGACTACAAGCCTCTGGAGCACAGGGAGTGGAATCTGGTGGTTTGAACAAGAATGGACCCATAGGCGTCTATATTTGAACGTTTGGGTCCCAGTTGGTGGACTACTTAGGAAGGATTACGAGGTGTGGCCTTGTTGGAAAAAGTGTGTCACTGGGGGTGGGCTTTGCACTTTCAAAAGCCCAGACAAGATCCCCTCTCTCCCTTCCTTCCTCTCTCTCTCTCTCTCTCTCTCTCTTTCTCTCCCTCCCTCCCTCCTGCTGTGGGTCAGATGTAAGCATTCAGCTACTGCTCCACACCATGCCACCATACTCCCCACCATGATGATCAAGGTCTTACCTTCTGGAACTGTCAGCTAGGCCCCAATTAGCTTTATTTCATAAATTGTCTTGGTCATGGTATCTCTTCACAGTAGTAGAAAAGCAGCTAAGATAGGTCCATTTGCTTAAAATAGCCTTTTCTATCCTTTTACCATGAGGTGATGTCTATTCTTGATGGTGACATGTTGCCTGAATGCAACAGAAAGATGGATGCTAGTGTCTAATCCAATACGCTAGTCTGTCTTTTTACTGGGGCAATTGAGATAGTTAAAAATGGAAGCTACCAATGAAGAGTGTTTATTGATTCCTGTGTTTTATTATGATGTGTCCCCCTTGATTTATTGTCCTGAGATTATTACTCTTTTTGTTTTCTTGGGTGTGGCTAACCTTTCCAGACTGAAGTTTTCCTTCTAGTGCCTTCTGTAGAGCTTGAAGGGTAAAGTTACTGCTTAAATTTGGTTTCTTGTTTCTCTTTCTCCATCTGTTGTAAATGATAGCTTTACTGGGTATAGTAGTCTGGGCTGGCATCTATGGATTGTAGACTGTCGGGCCAAGCCCTTCTGTTTTTCAGAGTCTCTATTGAGAAGTCTGCTGTTATCCTAATTTGGGCCTTCTTGGGCTTACCCTTATATGCTACTTGGTATATTTTCCTTACAGCTTTTAATATTCTTTGTTCTGTACATTGTTTTGATTATGCGTTGTGAGAAATTTCTCTTCTGGCCCTGTGTATCTGTATGCTTCTTGTACCTTTATAGGCACCTCTCTGTGTAGGAAAATTTTCTTCTATGATTTTTTTGAAAGTATAATCTGTGTCTTTGGCCTGCTTTTTTCCCCCTTCTCCCTTGGTTTCTATTATCTCTAGATTTAGTCTTTTCATAGTGTCCTAGATTTCCTGTATGTTTTGTGTCCGGATTATTTTAGATTTAACATTCTTTCTGACCAAGCTAACCAGTTCTTCAACACACAATTCTCTCTTCCATATTTTGTAATCTGTCCATCAGGCGTCATACCTGTTTTTCCTTGACATCCCCAGCTCTATGTCAGTTTGCTTTTTCTTTAGTGATTGCACTGGTTAGTTTTATGTCAACTTGTTGGCATAAACAGAGTTATTGGAGGGCTGGAGAGATGGCTCAGTGGTTAAGAGCATTGCCTACTCTTCCAAAGGTCCTGAGTTCAATTCCCAGCAACCACATGGTGGCTCACAACCATCTGTAATGAGGTCTGGTGCTCTCTTCTGGCCTGCAGGCATACATGCAGACAGAATACTGTATACATAACAAATAAATAAATATAAAAAAAAGAATTAAAAAAAACAGTTATTGGAGAAAGAGAGAGCCTCAGTTGAGAAAATCTCTCTATGAGATTGGGCTGTAAACAATCCTCTAGGGGTTCTCTTGATTAGTAACTCATGTGGAAGTTCTCATTGTGGGTGCTGCCATCCCTGGCTTGGTGGTCCTGGGTTCTGTAAGGAAACAGGCTGAGCAAGCCATGAGAAACAAGCCAGTAAGCATCACTGTTCCAGGGCCTCTGTCTGCATCAGCTGCTGCCTCTAGGTTCCTGCTCTGTTTGAGTTCCTGACTTGGTTTCTTTCACAAGACTGTACTATATAAGCCAAACAAACCCTTTCCTCCCCAAGTTGCTTTGGTTGTGGTGTTTCATCACAGCAGTAGAAACCCTGAGACAGTGATTCTGTTTCTACTCTCATGTCTTAAACTGTTTTCATTATTCCATTCAACTGTGTGTGTTGTCGGTCTGCATGAAGAGATTTATTTACATCCTCTCTATATTCATAATTGGCATTTTGAAACCCCTATCTTCTGCTTCAGTTACATTGTGTCTCTCAGGGCCTGCTGTAATAGAATTACTGGGTTCTGAAGAAAGCAAATTGTCTTGGCTGTTCATGTTTGGTTTTGCAGAGACTAAGCATCTGAAGTTATGATAATTGATGTGTTTCTTGGCATTGCTTTCTGGTCGTTTTTGCTGGGTGGCTGTTCTGGTCTTTGTTGCTCTTGCCCTCTCTGGATCCTGGGCAAGTGTGGTGATTGGGGGAGGGTCCTTGGTAGAGAGCTTCTGCAGGTTAGTGGGGGACAGAAAGAAATGGAGATGAGTGAGGAGGGAAGGCTGAGCGGGGCTGTGTTTGCACCAAGAATTTCAGTCCCGAGGTAGTGAAGTGTGGTGTGAGGGCAGACCCCTGCGAGCAGGCTTAAAGGATTTACAAAAGTAAGACTGAATAGGTGGGGATGAGAGGGACAGCTGAGTCTGCACCAAGAGGTGGAGACCCCAGTGAATGGAGCTGGGGTAGTAGGAGGAGCTTCACCTGAAGGCCGCTGCAGGACTGAAAGACTGGAGAGATCAGAATGGAGGACAGGAGGATAGTGAACATCGCCTGGGTACCAGCCCAGCGTGACGCTGGGAGTCCCTGGTAAGCCCAGTGTGCTGCTGGGAGTACCTGGAAAAAGCGTTTCTGGGACTGCATAGCTGACAAAAAGGAATGGAGACAGGCAAGAAAGGAAGGCTGAGATGGTTGGCAAGATTGCTTAGTGTGATTTAAAGTCATAGTTCCGCTGCTTTATGTTATTATTGAAAGCAGAGAGCTTCTGTCCTTTAGTTATGACACGAGCATTTCTCTCCCGTGGCCTTTATCGTAGCAGTAGTTCCTTTTGGTATAAGTCATATACATAACTTAAAGGAAGTATAAAAACGGCAGAAACCACTCTAGCGGCTATGCACCTTGTCATCCCTCCCCGAGCAGTTAATACTTGGTATAGTTTCTCAAGGTGACCCACAAAGCAGACCTGAAAGAGATGGATGGTATTTAGGCCTGAGTCTATCTCTGGTCCAAACTCATGCTCCTCAATTGTCCATGCACCTACAGACCTCTGGGTCCCTGGGTATAATTCACCCTCATAGTCTTTTCCTTTAACTTGGATTTTTTTAAAACTGTTTTTCTAATCATGTATTTGTGTATGTGTGTGCATAAGCATATATATGGTGAATGTACATGTGTGTGCAGGGTTGAGACAGCTCCTGTCCCAAATTGTTGGGGATTGTGGACCCCCAGACCCTGAATTCCCTGTGACCCTCTGCCTGCCGGAGTAAACAGCTTGTTTTGCAGCTGCTCTGAGCATGAGACCCTCAGGAGTTCCTGATGGCAGGGGAGATGTTTCTGGTGGGCTTGCAGCTAAGTGTTAGGGTGTGGCCATTAGTCAAGGAGACCCTATATCTGGAACACAATAAAGGACATTCTTGGAGAATTCTTGGCACCTGTGTCTCTGTGTCTCTCAATCTCCAGGCTCTTGCCTGACTCACGAACCGTACGGTAGCACATAGAGCAGGCATTGTGCTATACCGAATCTTCCTCTATTTAAACCTGAAGTTCATGCTAGCACCCCTGCCTGAAGACTATATGGGATGCTTGAATTCCCCTTACCTTCTAATACCACTGTATTTCTTATATTCCTATCCTGCCATTCACGATTACTTCTTTCATGATGTTTGAGGCAGGGGGCCGATTTGTTGAGAACCCCTGAAGTCAGCAGGGGCTAAGGATGCAAGGAACAACAGTTATTTCAGGTCCTTGTCTGTAGAATTAACATATGGGACATTTTGAAATCCCTTTGTACTAATTGCTTTTTCTTTTGATTCTGGACCACTTTGACTCTGGGTCTCATTTCCTGTTCTTCCTATTCTTGCCTCTTTTTTCATACTGGACATAAAGAGCAATATGGGGCGGAGTCCCTTGGTTCTATTAATTCCTGCTCAAGTATTGATTTTTGTTCTATCAGGCAATCCACTTGGCAGGAATCAAACTGTAATGTTTGCAGTGGGACACAGCTAAAGCTGCTCAGATTTTGTGTGTGTGTGTTTTAGCCGTTTCTCTCTACCAGGCTCCAGGCAGTCTGCCTTATAGACTCACTCAGGGATCATCCATAGCTCAGTAACATGAGCAGATTGTGACATGTCCCCTTGTGTGGTTTACTTGCTTCCATGCTGTCTGTCTCTCTTCTGGTTTCTCTAGAGACCCTTGCATTCGTCAAGGTAGTGGGATGGTAGCTTTCAGTTTGAGTTCTGCCTCGCTTCCACCATTACCTCCAGCCAGTTTTTACATGACTAAACGTGAAAAGTTAATTTAAAAAATTACCATTCCACTGTAAAGAACAGAACGAGGCAAGACCGCTGGATGTCAACAAAGCTTTAAGAAGTAGAGGGCCTAGACAGTAACATTCAACAGTGATGGAGTTGCCAATGGCAAGACAGACATGTCTCTGTGTTACAGCAGGGCCTCACGGAGCCCCGCGGGGGCAAGGGAAGCATGGATCAGAAACAAAACAAGTTTGGGGACTACAACCAAAGGGAGGTAAATTCAGTACGGGAAGCGTCTAGAACAAGCAGATGGGCTGTGCTTCACGGTGGAGAAGAGAGCGTGAGTTCTAGAGTGTCACACAGGTCGTGAAGCTGAGGTCACAGGCCCAGAATTACACAAGTCAATCTGCTACTGATGCTAACTCATCAGCACAGACCACAACCAAAGAGCAAACCACCTCGGTAGCTAGGATTTCACTCTGGGAAAACATTCTAATTCAAGTGACGTTAACTCCAGGATTCTTGCTTCCGAAGACATGTTCGTACTCTTCGCTGTATCCTGAAGACATCATAGGTCCTCAAGGGAGAGTCCCCATCTCTAGTCACAAGCGTCTTCCTTCTAAGCGACTTTGTTCCTAGAGCCCTAGAGGAAGCAGGGAAAGAGAGCCAAGGCGGGGGTGGGGGTGGGGACTTTATCCGACAAGTGTTCTGAATGCCACTCATCATTAGGAGAGAAAATTTGGAACTTGGTGTCATGCTGCCTCACGATCACGTCTGTTGCTCAGTCTGAAGTTTCACTCCGATGAGAGCTGCACACTGTCTGCTTGGCTTTGTGGCTGTTGATACTCATACTTTCTTGCTATGAAAAAACGATGACAAGAAAGATAAAGAATAAAATAAATACTAGCTAATGTCATTAAACCTGTCATAAAAACCATGTAATGTCATAAAACCATGTAATTAAATCATGATGAATGGTAAGAAATTAGTTTAGAATTAAACAACTGTTTTTCCTTTGGAGGAAGCTATTATATTCTAAGGTCTTCTAATTTTGGCACTATTTATATATACCTGATATTTATAATTATTTAAATATCAGGATCATTCTGAACTTTAAAATACAAAAAATTGAGTAAGTTATTACATTCTTAAAATTTTTCTTCTTTCTTACTCTCTATTGCTACTTTTAAAAAATATATCTTAATTTACATTTTGAGACTTTCATACATACATATATACACATGTATGTAGATGGAGATTGCTTGCTTGTGTCCTGACTGCTCAGACCCAAATAATCACACAGAAACTACATTAATTACAACACTGCTTGGCCTATTAGCTCAGGATTCTTCTTAACTAACTCTAATATCTTAAGTTAACCCATTTCTATTAATCTGTGTATCGGCAGGAGGCTGTGGCTTACTGGTGAGGATCTGGCATCTGTCTCCTTTGGCAGTTACATGGTGTCTCCTTGACTCCGCCTACTCTCTATACCTTCGTTTGGATTTCCCACCTGGCTTTATTCTGCCCTGCTGTAGCCAAAGCAGTTTTATTCATCAGCCAATAAAAGCAAAACATACACAGAAGGACCTCCCACATCACAGCAGACAATGCATTCTGGTCGTAACTTTGCTCCTCCACTCAGCTTCTCCTCTCCCATCACCGCACGTTTCCCTCCACCTTAAGGTCTTCGTTTATTTTTTTAACCCACAAAGTCCAATTCATGCTTTCAGTATGTGCAGGGGAGGGGGGCTGCCCATTGAGCCACAGGTTCCTAATCTGGGATCATTTCCCTGAAAGAACTGACTCTCTACCTTAGCAACCAATGACTTCAGCAGCTCCTCTCTTCATACACCCTTCACCCATCCATCCTGGAACTGTGAGTGGCTTCATCTTGTGCAGGCGCCCACAGTCACTGTGAGTTTGCGTGTGCAACAGCCTGTCACACGTGGCAAACACTGTTTTGCAGCTTTCTTAACCACTAGCTCTTACCATCTTTCCAATCCCCTTCCTTCGTTTATGACCACTGAGCCTTGTGGGAGGGGTTGAGAAAGACATCCCTCCTAGGGCTGCATATGCAACAATAACTTATTTTTGGCACGTTGATATTACCACCTTTTTGTTTTTACTATATTTAACTTAAAAGCCTACAGAAGAAGCTAAACATAGAACTGTCATACGACCCAGCTCTAGCACTCCTGGGCACGAACCCAAAGGAATTTATAACCTACTACAGACACACGTGCCCGTCCATGTTCCCTGCCACTCTACTCACCATGGCTATGAAACACAATCAACCCACGTGTCCATCAACAGACAGGGAAAATGTGGTGCATGCACACAATGGAATGCTACTCAATTGTGAAGAAAAATAAAATCACGAAATCTTCAGGGAAATGGATGGAATTGGAAACCAACTATACTAAATGAGGTAACTCAGACCCAGTAAGACAAATGTCACGTGTTCTCTCAGATGTACAGCCTGGTTTCAAACATTTTGTTTTGTGTGTTTAGCTTGGAGCACACGTAGATGCCAATACACCAGAAAGTCTCGACTGGGCATGATGCATTGAGGACTGGCAGCAAATTCTAGGTAAAACCAAAGTAGACTGATGGACATGTATGGGTATTCTATCGGCACGTATATGTGTGCACTGTGCGTGCAGTGCCTGAGGCAAAAACGGGAAATGAATCCTTTGAAGCTGGAATTACAGAGGGTTGACCACCGAGCTGTCTCCTGGCTCCTAAAAGGGACATCTTTACTGAATAACACATCTCCTGTCACTGCCAAGGCTCAGAGAACATTGCAAAAGAGAAGACAGAAAGACTGTAATAGATGGAGGGCAGGGAGAAGTGCTATACAACACTGTCTTCTGGAAATGACATGAACTCACAGAAGGAGGGACTGTGTGCCCAGGAAGTGCACAAGATCAAACCAACTAAAATTTGTGCATACATGGGGAGACGCTCTCAAGGCCCCGCCCTTCACTGAAGAGCTATTGGTGGTTAATAGCTGCCTGAGGGAGGGAGAAGCATCTTTCTTTGAGGGTGTGGTCACTGAAAGGTTGCTTACACTCCAGTGGATGGTCCTATACCCATGTATATATATATGGTCAGTAGTAAGTGAGCTAACAGGGTTTGTTTTTGTTTTTTAGACGAGAACTTGAGGTTGTGGGGAGAGTGTTGCGGGAGATTTGTGGGAGATGGGGAGGAATGGGAGGAACACATTGTAAGAAATTAGTTACAGTCCATTTTCAGAGACAGGTCTGTTCAGGTCTCACCAGAGAACCCAGATAAGCAGAGGCGTTGGCATCTGCCTTTCCTAGCTGGCAGCTGGCACCTGTGTGTCTGGGGTGAAAAGTTACAGGAAGTCTGCTGTTTCACTGAGCCCATATACAAAGGGAGGAGGGGATTAAAATGCCTCAAGATAGTTATTAGATACAGCTGGGTCTGGAACCAACGGCTGGGGAATCTGGCGAGGGAGTAACGCGAAGGCTCTGGGAAGATTGATCTCTCTAAAGAACTCAACCAATGAGAATTAAAAGGAGCAAAGAACTGCAACTCGGATATAAAAGCCACTGTTTTGTGCCAAATAGGAGCATCAGCGATATTTTCCTTTCTGTATAGGTTGGCTTTAGTTTCTGTGTAACTGAAAATAGATCTGTCTCGCTTTGGTTACTCTGAGACTTCACCATTCTTATTATAAAGCAAGGGTGACTGCTTCTCGCAATCTGGGAGGTGGACATCTTCCAGGACTGCTATATTTGGAAAGAGCAGCCCGAGGTCTGTGTAGAAGATGCATCCTGCCCCACCTTCAGGTGTCCCACTCTGCCAGATCTCGGTCTCTCCCCAACACCTCAAATAAGACCTAAGAGGACTTTTGAGAGAAGTGAGGCTGAGAGTCAACTCGTATGCTCCCCTCACAAGGTGACCAGGAAGACCCAGGTTAAGAGTCCAGGAGAGCCTGTCCTGTTTACAACCTCGTGTTCTACACAATGAAGATTTGGGGTGGCAGCAGGCTGTAGGGGTGTGCACGTCTTGGTGTGCTCTTTCCAATTTCTGGGATAAACACCATGACCAAAAGCAACTTGGGAGGGAAAGGGTCTATTTCAGCTGGCAGTTTATAGTCCATCATAGAGGGAGGTCAAGGCAGGGACCTGGAGGCAGCAGCTGAAACAGAGACCCTTGCCGGTGAATTAACAAAAAGTCAGAATTGATGATCCACTTACACACTGGCTGAAAGGATTTAAAAAAAATAGAAAGGGTTGATGGCTCCATTCCTAACTTCCTTTGTAATTGTAGCAGAAATATTAACTACAGTAGAGTGATACATTATTCTTTCTAAAAGAGTTTTAGCAAAAGCCCATTAAAATAAAATTAACAAATGCCCAAACACAACCACATAATCTAATGCTTTTATATACTAGACCAGACCATCAGTACTATGATAGAGCCAAAACTGTTAGATTAAAAAAGTTAAATAATCCTAAATATAAGACTGATAAGCTTTAAATAAAAGGGAACAAGAAGTTAGGAAGTAAAGCATTATGGTCCATTTCCAGCATGAGGTGCATTTAGAGCTCATCAGTGCACACCAGACAAGCAGAGGCACAAGGCCCATCTTCCCTGTCTAGAGCTGGTGCCTGCTCGTCTAAGAGCTCCAGGGTCACACAAGAGCTGAAACATCCGGCGGCCTGGTACATAACTGAGCCCACATATTAACAGAGGGGCAATCCCGAGCCCCAATATTAAGTAGATGCTGTTCTATGTCCTTTTGTTGAGCCTAATACTTTGTGTCTATAATACCAAAAATAAATGTCTCTCTTGAGATCCAGCATTCTTAGTGTGAGGTAAAGATTACTGTTTCTCCTATGATCTCAAAGAAAGAATTTTTAAAAACTAAAATGAAAAAGAGCAGAATAAAAAACCACACAGCATCTCAAAGGAAAACAAAAAGGAGCTGTCCAGGCTTTCTGCATTTAACTGCAGACAGCAGTCCGCAAGCATGTGAGCTCAGTAAGCTGGTCCCCACCTCTGTGCTGCCTCGCCACACGGAGAACTTACAGTAGACACATATGCAATACTTTACAGAGAGATGATAAAATGAGGGCTTTGTTTGCTCTACAACAGTGTATTGCTTCCTTGATGCTATGGCAAATGCCTAACACAAGCAACTTAAGAAGAGCAGGATTCATTTTGGCGTATGGTCTTAGATACAGTCCACCAGAGCAGGGAATCATGGCAGTACTCCTGGCAAGCAGCTTAGCACGCTGCACCCTCAGTCTGAAACCGAGATGGGCGCTCTACCCAGCCAGCTTTCTCCTTTTTGACTCTGTCCTTGACTTCGGCCCATGTTGTGATGCCATGCTACATTTAGAGGACACCTTCCCACCTCAATGAACCTATTTTAGAGTCTCCTCCAAGACCCACTCAGAGCTTAGTTTCCTGTGTGATTCTAAATTCTATCAAGCTGACAGCTGAGATGAACCTGGCAGTCTAATGTAAGCACCAGCTTGCTTATCCTACTTAATGTGAAGTAGGAACATCTGTGGAAGCCGTACCTTAATATTTTAAATAATGGCATAAAGGGCTTCAATGTACAGCTGATTCTGGATCTGTACATTTTAAAATGTGTTTCTTTTTTCCTGTGTCCATGCTTGCAGTGACCGGTACCACAGGATGTATCAATATTGTTCAAATGTAACTTCTGGTCTTGTACCTTGATCTTGCAAGTTCTGACAGTCATTCTTGCACTACTTTGGTGTTCTGCTGTTTGATCATTTCAATGCCATCCCAAATGAGAAGTACAAAGGAGGAGGAATTAGAAGAGGAAGAAATGGAGGTATCAAATGGTGATTATAATCTCGATTTCTGCAAAACTTATAAGAATATGACCACCTCTCAAGGTTATAGAAGGCCTCAGGCAACAGAAAGGCCAAAGCTTTAATAGCTATAATTTCGGGATAAACCTGCCTTGCTGTGTCTGAAAAAGGTTTAAGTTTCCATAAACAACCATGTTTTATAACCTTTTGCTAACTGAGCTCAATAGATCTATTTAAAACATGTCATCATACAGCTCGGCAAACATACTTACAAATGGAATGCATCTCCAATTGTTGTCTTAAGCGGATTTTGCTCATTGTGTCATAAAAATTGGGCTCTGACAAGGTTTCTTCTGAAGGTGGCACGCTAAATATTCTCATAATTTTCCTTTTATTCCTAAAACACAAAACCAATGCAGATTTGTTTCAAAACTTACATAATTGTCTCACAATCCATTAAAAGCATGGAACAAATTCTTCTTGTGAAATACTCTATTCTTCACTAACATACAAGCTCTCTGTGTAGAGCATGGTATCACAAGGAAGAAAGATGCTCAACACATTATAACATACATAATACTGTATTGCTAAACAATATATCAAAATGAGGCCCTTTCACTGCGATTCCCGCTAACTCCTAGGGAAAGTGGCACATCAAAAACAGCAGTATATCAACAAGGAAGCATGTCATCTTCCCTCTCTTTCGCAATATCCAGCTAACGACAAATCGTTGCCGTGGGGAATATTCCGGATGTCAGCAGACCTTAGTTTGGGAAAGCCATGGATAAAAATGTTCTTTAATGACATAGTTCCAGTGGGATTTTAGAAGCGAGAGCAGCGCATCTCTGCTTTTAAAATAAAAGTGGGAAGGAGGCGGCAGCTCTTTTAGAGAAAAGTTGTCACATGCAAGTGGATCTGTGATGACATGTGGCACCTTCTCGCACCCATACCTGGCAGTGCAGCCACTGAGAGGGGGCTGCTTGGCATGCAAGGGCAAGTATGAGTAGGTGGAGTGGACCCAAGTCCAAACAGAAATCATTTCCGGACTATTAGTTATCATAAACTACTTAATAACTTCTTAAATCCTCAGTAGAGAATTCCTGAAATATATACCTACCAGTAAAATACTGCTTTTCCTCTTTCAAATACACACACTAGCCATCATCGTCATTATCACCACCACCACCATCACCACCATCACCTTCACCACCACCACCACCACCACCATCACCACCATCACCTTCACCACCACCATCACCTTCACCACCACCACCACCACCACCACCACCACCACCACCTTCACCACCACCACCTTCACCACCATCACCACCATCACCTTCACCACCACCACCTTCACCACCTTCACCACCATCACCGTCACCACCACCGTCACCACAATCCACTGCCAACATCAGGATCATCACCATCACCACCACCATCATCACTACCACCAACACCATCATCATTAATTCTATCACTGTTCTGCTGAATTTGGGGGCAGGAAACTAAGAAGAGTTAAAAAAGTACATTTAAATTAAGCTACACCAAAAATGAAGGCAGAAAAATGTCTATTAGGAATTTGGACCACATGGCATATCAATGACACAAAGATAAAAAGACAAGCTCCTTGTTCTCCAGGAGCTGACATTTTTATAAGAACAGAGATGTGGTGTGCTGGTTTCTTGTCAATGTTATCTAGCTGGAGTCATCTGCGAAGACAGAACCTCAGCTGAGGGATTGCCTCTATCCGACTGGTGTGCAGGAAAGTCTGTGAGATATTTTCTGGATTCATGACTCTGGTGTGAGGGCTGAGTTCACTGCGGGTGGGTGGTCTCAGGTTGTATTCAAAAACAAACTGGCAAAGCATGGAGAAGGAGCCACAAGCAACACTCCTCCATGGTCTCTGCTTCAGTGTCTGCCTCTAGGTTCCCATCTTGAGTTCCTGTACTAACTTTCTCAAGGAGAACCGTGGCCTGTACGCTGACAAACTCTTTGTTCTGCAAGTCACTTTTGGCCATGGTCTTTATCACAGCAATAGGAAGCAACTAGTACAGTGCCATGCCTAAGAGTCAAGGAGGAGGTCAACAGGTCAACAAGGAGAAGGTGGACAGAGTTGGCTGACTACTGGGCGGTAAGTGTGTTTGCATTCCGGACGCTTGAACTGAAAATACTTTAAAGTATGTTCAATGCAGGGGACACGTATTAATGCTGGTGATGAAGTCAGGCTACTTTAGAAGTGATAGCAACCAGACTTTAGAGCAGCGGGTCCTGTCACACAGAACTGAATTGGAAAGGATTTCCAGATCAAGTCTCAGTTGCCAATGCCTGTGTAGACAACACCTTTCAGTCCGGGAACACAATTTCTGAAGAAATATATATTTGTTTGTTTGGTTTTTTTTCAAGACAGGGTTTCTTTGTGTAGCTTTGGAGCCTGTCTTGGCACTTGCTCTGTAGACTAGGCTGGCTTCGAACTCACAAAAATCCACCTGACTCTGCCTCCCAAGTGCTGGGATTAAAGGCGTGCGCCACCACCGCCCAGCTCTGAAGAAATATTTTTATGCTTTTAACAAACCAACAAAAACAAATCTCATCATAACACTTTAAATCTCGTAAATGCTGGGTATCCTCTCTGCCCTTATTTACCTCTTGGCGTACATGAAGAGGCCAAAGCTAACAAGGATCACTATCAAGTATACATTGGTGGCTTCGTTCCACGCTTCATGGACCGTGTAGTCAATAGAATCGTCACCCATCACGCCATAACTTCCAGCCATGGGGTCTGTAAGGGAAAGGAAGGCGACTGAGACGTGGCCACCAACCATTGTTGCATGGCCCAGCTAAGAATGATTTTACACTCGGAAAGAGGCACCGGACATTCATTCTTTGCATTTGTTTTTGGGGGTGCTGGGGACCAAACCCAGGTCACAGATAAGCATGCTCTCTCCCCTGAACTACCCTGCAGTCCCTAAGTAGGCACATTATGATCCTAAATGTGCTTCAGTTTCCTCACTATTTATGAAACCTAAAATATATTTTTAGTTTGGTTCTTAAAGGAAAAGGGATACTGAGCCCAGATATTGGTCATAAAGATACAAAACACATATTTTGCCCATTTTTAATTTTGAAATATTACAAGCCTTACATAAATGTTAAAATGTAGGATAAAAATACTGCTAAAAGAATTGAATGTAAAATGGTACTGCAGTTTTCAAACTGTAGCTGTTATTGAGATGAAAACACGGAACCCTTCGAAACACAGAGCCAGACCATGGGTAGGAGTCTTAGCAGGCCGGTCTCTCTATGACAACAAGCCAAAGATACATGACCGCATTAACTGCGATTCATGCGCCTCCCAACATGCCTGCACACTGGAGCCGTGCCAAGCTGTGCCCATTTGTCAAACTAGGCTAAAAGAAGCTATGAGACAAAACGTTACGTTGCTCCTTATTCGTAATCATGCATTCTTTGGACATTCCCACAGAAAGCTGGACTGATAATCACAAATGTATCAGGCAGCAAGTAAGAGAATAAGGGCTTCTTCTCTGTGTGTGAGAACTAAATTTATCCTTAAGAACAAGGTTCTTCCCTTGTGTTGAACAGAAAAGGAGTCTGGGTTAAATGACATAAAATATGAAAGCAATTCAGAAGTGTTTTAGAGAGTCTACAAAAACGAGCAAATGGCAGGTGACAAGCCTAATGCAGTATCTCACAGGCATGTTTTAGCCCAAGGAAAGAAATGCCTGAAATGTCTGAGACATTATTTACAAAGCATTTGTGTCTTTTGTTTCTGCTTCAACAATAAAGGTGATGCAGAGATTCTTCTACAGAAATACCTTGCAGTCTATTCTGTGAGCTATGCAGATGCCATTAAGGCTGTTTCCCTTGGCAGGCTAATTAGCCTGTATTTCCTTTCTTCCCACTTGTCCATATAAAATACAGGATGAAGTCCCAGGAAAGAGTTGCTCTGAGCCAGGTGGCGTGTGTTCAATCTGGAGTTTTTGCCAGATGTATGGAGACCTATCGCGCTCATCTGGAGTAGAGTGGACAACACAAACAGACCTCCGGTTTCAACTCCTGACATTGGAGACAACAGGAAGTTCATGTACTGGGGTCTGATGGATACAAACACACGTCTTGTGAAAATATTTTGGTCAAGGAACAATAAAGAGGATTTCTTTATAAAAGACTTAAAACATTAAGATCTAAATAGGAGGGTAGCGCTTACTAAATACTAATGATTAATGCTATGGGCTTTTGGTTGAGTGGAAGGAACAGGAGTAGTCAGGTACTCAACTCTTAGTTTTTAAAATTCAATTCCAGGGGGTTCTCTGATTTTTTTGATTTATAGTAAATAATCAAGTCTGTTTTAGATGCAGAGACTTCTGGAGGACCAAACACTACAACTGCCCTTACTGTGTGTCATTTTGACCACTGTAAACGCCACGATGCTGACACAGCAATAACCATGACGCTGTTTTGGAAGAAAGGAAGTTTTAAGTGTCTGGCTGGAGGTGCTAGAGGGAGCTCAGCCAGTCATGCAGCAACAGTAGAGTACTCAGAATCAGGAGTGAATAAATTAGGGAAGAAACGGGTTAAGGCAGCAATGGCCACTGGATACGGAGTGAGTGCCATTTATTTATCTGTCAAATTAACAAAGTGCTTCTCAAATGCCCATTGGATCTGAACCAGATTAATTTTTTGCTACAACTTCTGACAGAACGTTGTCCATGTGCCACGGAGTGAATGACGCACTCCTATCCAGAGCCTGGCTTCTTCCTACTAGGCCACTCTATAATTGTATCTAGAAAAAAGTTTTCTGACGACTGCTGATCCGGAGGGGCAAAGGGTAAACCTGAGATACAGGACACTTAATATAAAACATCAGTACTCTGCAATAACACTGCTCCTCCATGGGTCCTGGGAGGGATGAATGGCCTTAGACCTGCAGCTATGGAAGACTAGCAAGGAAGGCAGGCCTCTCCTGCTAGCCCTGACACGATCAAGAGCATGCTCCGGAAGACAACGGGGAATGGAGAGACCGAGTCGCTGGGCAGACAAGGTACTTTGACCAGCCCGCCCACACACTAGGTGTAGTCTAACCAAGTGTGCGCAAACGCACCCTTCATCCTCGGTCTAAATAACGTGTCCAGGGGTTCATTTCTATCAACTTAGTGGTCCAGTACTGGGGATGACAGTCAGAGCTCTTTCGAGAAAACTGACTCCTTCCCACGGTTGTCCTGGGAACTAATGCTTGCATTATCGTTTCAGTAGGAAGATAAATGAGTGAAAGAAGTCGCAAGTGAGCATGAGCATTCAGAGACAGCGCCGTCAAAAATGCATCCACGAGGATTTAGTTTAAGGCTGACCTACTTTTAGGTGAAAAGCCCTTTTCTGGTCATCATGAGACATTATCTTAAGTTTTTAAATTTGTCTCCACCGTTCTAGACGTGGGCATTACTTGCCATCATGCCTAGAATGTTATTTTGGTCTCTCGTCTGGAACATTTGTTATTTTCCCACAGAAACGGAGCTTAAACACCATTTCTAACAACAAAATCCAAACCTTGTGAAGGGAAGACTCTTGCTCCTGGTTCTCTGAGACACTATGGGGTTTGAGGTCCTGAAGCGGAAGGGGACACGCTCACAGACCTTCACCCTTTCCCAGAGGAAGGAGGACATCTGAGATCTGAGGACTGGGCAGTTCACACCCGAATTATACTGTATGCAACCAGCCTGCTTGGAGACACTGCAACTCTGTAACAGGTGACAGTGGTGGATCTGTCACCCCAAGGCCACACGGGCTCAGGAAGGAAGGGACAGAGGCGGCACAGAGATCCGACGCCCAAACCTGGCCTCCTCCAGCCGCGTCCCCTATGCAATCCGCTCCCGGTGACATACAGGACGGTCCTCTCCCGACAGGCCGTCCAACGTTCCAGTCGTCCCGTCGCCGCGGAGACCCAAGACCGGGTCTGACCCGCAGCCCCGCGACCGGGACCGGACGGGGCGGGGCCGGCTGGCCGGGGCGGGGCGGTGACGCGGGTCGCGCGCGCGGGCGGGCGAGCGCTCAGCGGGCTCCGGAGGTGCGGAGGCCGCCGCGCCGCTCGGCTCCGCTCGGCTCCGCTCCGGCTGTTCCGGGAGTCGGGCGGGGAGCGCGGGCCGAGACTCAGCGGACCGGACGACCTCTCCTTCGTCACTTCCTGCCGGCCCGCGGTTTCCGGAGGGAACGAGAAGCCAGGTTTTGTTATTGGTTTTTCTTCCTTCCCTCCCTCTCTCGGGATGCGAGCCCGACGCCGCCGCCGCGGCGGTGGCCCGGGTGCCGCCTCTGGCGAGAGCGGAGCGGGCCGTCCGTGCGAGCCGCGGCCCGGGTCGGCGCGGGCGGGCGGGAAGCGGCGGGCTCAGGCCCTCGGCGGTGGGGCGGTCGCGGGGTGTCTGCGCGTGCTCCGGAGACGAAGCTGCTGCTCGGTCTCCTCATCTTCCCCGCTGCGAGCCCAAGGCGATCGAAGTGTTCTTAACGCTGGAAGTGGCCCTGGCGCCCTCTCGTTCTTGGCTTGAATGGCTAGGGTGTATTTTTTTTAAAAGGGAGGGAGGAAATAAAAAGAACTCTGCGTAGCGACTTGACCGAGAACGTTTCCCAGCGTGAGGCAGGTGATGAGTGTGTGTGGCATAGCAGTTTCGCCATTAAACCGATCAGTCCCCAGGTTAGTCCTGGCCATGCAAATAAAGCGGCCCATTGTCCACGTGTTTAAGGGCTTAGCTGTTCCAGCGGGGCAAGTTCTCCTGGATCAACTGATTTCTAGTTATAATTCGTGCTCTCATTGTAGCGGTTCTGTTGAATTGGTATGCACAGATAAGATCAAATAATTAATACTGTAACTTTCAGCAAGTTGTCTTGCCTCTTCCAAACTCACCTTTCCCTAGATACAGTAACATAGCAACATTTTTTGTAGTATCAGTATATCTGCATTTACATATACAAGCAGTCATGTACATAATTTTTAACCATTTAGTTTGAGTTTAAAGTTAGAAAAAATTAGAAAGGATAACTGTGCTGTTTGCTGCGTGTTTGCCAGGACAGTGCCAGACGTTCATAGATGTTTTAAATCAGTCCGTTTTCAAGGGTAACTTTTTGCCTAAGCATAGAATGGCCACAGTTTTTCTACACGTGAGTTTGATTCGAATGCATCACCATATAGAATGTCTACACTAAATAATTGTTTCTTCTGTGAAAATCAGGGTGTTTGTTGGTCACATAAAGAATCTCAGCAAGTTAGTGTGACTTTAAAAAGTTTATAGGATTGCAGTTAATCCCGTTGGGTATTAAACAGTTTACAAAGCCGTGTGGTTCTTACTTATCCAAGTGCCCATTGCACAGTATGGCCAGAAAATGAACAAGCTAGGGTGTACATCAGGCAAAGGTACCAAGAGCCAGAGCGACCCTTACTCAAAGAGTCCTTTGTATTTCATAGTACAGTTCCTAACTTAGGGCAAAAGAGTGACAAGATTATCTTTCCAACACCAAGCTAAGAAAACAGTGAGCAGGCTGTTAGATTTTTGGAGTGTCTCTTGTTTCTTTTTCTTTTTAGATAGGGTCTCACTATGTATCCCTGGCTAGCCTGGATCTGTGTAGACCAGGATAGCCCTGGACTTGAGAGACCTCCTCACCTCTGCCTTCTGAGTGCTGGGATCAGAAGTGTGCACCACCGCACTCAGCTAGGCATGTCAGGGTTTCTCTGAGCATTCGAATATTAAGAATGTTAGATTTTCTATATTGTAGGTGGTTGTAAAAATCGTATGTGCCTAGCTGGGCAGTGGTGGCTCATGCCTTTAATCCCAGCACTGGGGAGGCAGAGGTAGGCGGATCTCTGAATTCAGGGCCAGCCTCGTGTACAGAGTGAGTTCCATGGAAAAACGTTTTATGTGCCTAACTTTTTAATTTGGGTTTAAGTATCTTTAAACACATATTCAGTATTCTCTCCAGTATAAGATTAGAATATGTTTATAAATTTTAATGATTTATGTAGCCATAACAGTTCAAAACTGACTTGTGAGGGTGATGGTAGAGTCTTGCATCAGGAGAGGAGACGCGGCTGGGGCGATTAGACTGAGGGAAGTGGTTGGAAGCCTGTGCTTGAGGGTAAATTAACATACTGGAACTTATCAGAAAATTCCATTAGTGTGTCATCAGGAAGAAATGGAAGTTGGGAAAGCTTTGTTAGTTGGTATTTACCAAAGGGTTCCTTTCTTTACTTGTGGACGGATGTCCTTGGGGGAGGGACAGAGGGAGGTATGGGGGAGGGGGGTGGGAGAAGGATGCAAGTTGTCTTTGTAGTGAATTCTTTTCTGTGTGACTAATTCTTGCTACCACGTAGGTGCCTCTTCAAGCACTTTGCAAGCTTTGAGATTTGGGGGCCGGTCATTGGTAGATGAAAGGAAGAAAAAGGGAAGAAGAGATGGTAGTGTTAAGGAATCCCCCAGACAGACAACGGAATAGGCAAGGCCTTAGTAGGCTTTCTTGTGGGCAAAATTTTAGCAATATGAGCAAAACCTATCCCAGTAAGAGTGACAATGAAATTTGTAAATGTCTCATGTCATTTGTATCAAAAACTACAGACTGTTCCCTTAATATAATCTATACACAATTGGATAGATTTATAATGTAATGCAATACATGAAAAATTACTGAATTATTCCCATCAGCCATTTCTGTGCATATGTGTACAACCTGGTGAAGTTGTAGGGACTGGCACAGTCTCCTCAGCTCCTGGCCATAAGTCATCCGAGACATAACCGGAAGCCAGGCCTGTCTCATTCATCACTTCAAAACTTGGCTCTCAGTGTAAAAATTTGCCTAGAATGCTTGGAACCCTGGGTCCTATCCCCGACATTGCCAAAACTCAGTGGAAAACTTGTCTCAGGTATGAGTGCCCTTTAGCCCACAGACAGCAAGCCAGTTTCTGCTGTGAGTTAGTTGGTGATTATCTCCAGGGCCTAGAACAGAGCCTGGCCAGAAAAAGCAATTATGGAATAAACATTGTGCCAGATAGATCAGTTTCCTTTTGTTTAGGTCCTTCCTGCCCTTATGTGTGGGGCTCCTCCAGCCTCACCTCTGTAATCGAACCCCACTCCTCTTTGTGTGTCGTTTACACAGTGCCCTTTGGAGTCTCATTTTTCCCTTCCTTCCTTCCTTTTCTTTCTTTTTCTCTTTGTTTTGTTGTTGTTGCTGCTGTTTTGAGACAGGGTGTCTCTGTGTAACAACAGTCTTGACTGTCCTGGAACTTGTTATGTAGACCAGGCTGGCCTCGAACTCGCTGAGCTCTGCCTGCCTTTGCCTCTCAGGTGCTGGAATTAAAGGCGTGCGCCACCTCCTCCTGGCTGGTGTTAAATCTTCATGGCTTATGTTGGTACTTTAGTGTCTCGTGTAGTCTGTTTCCTCACTTCAGATACAATATATTTTAAGGCTGTACCTATTTATACAGCACTGTTTTCAGAATTGCCTCAGCATCAGGTATGTCTATACAGAGTTGGCTTGTCTGGCTATGGAGTAAATACTAGTTATCATGGGAAAACATCAACTATATCTTGAACCATTGGTAACATATTAGTTGGGCAAACTTTGTGCACACTTAGGAAACAATGTAAAAACTTAGTGCCAAAAAATAATGAAGAGTAATATTTGTCCAATGCTAAAAATGTGCCAGCCGGTGTCCCTGTCCCCTCTCGTTCATTTGTGTCTCAACAACCTTTTGCAGAAGGTAGTTATAATCTATTTTTCAAGGAAGGAAATGGATGCGCAGCAAAGCTTTCTTACCCAAGATTATGATGTGCAAATTAAATAGAATAGGTAGTCTGGCTCCCGGGCCAGCCAAGCTTCTCTCCCGAGTTGGCTTATTTCTAGTGTGTGTGTGGGGGTCAGTTTGCCAGTGCACAGAGGCCAGAGAAGATGTCAGATGGCTGCCTTGTTCCCTGGAGACAGGGTCTCTCCCTGAACCTGGAGCTGTGTTGGTGCCTAGCAAGCCCCAGAGTTCCCACACAACAGGGATTTTTATGTTGGTGCTAGGGACCAGAACTCATGTTTATGTAACACTGAGCCCATCTCTCCAGCTTGGGAGGTTTACTTTATAATTTGAACAATCTAAAAACAAAACGCTATTTTTGCAGTTATAAAAGGTGCTCTTGAGGAGGGTCAGGGGTGACTGGAGAAATGGCTCCATGATTAAAAGCTCTTGCTGCTCCGGTGGAAGATCTGAATTTGGTTCTCGGCACCCACTTGGCAGCTTATACCCATCCATCATAACTCCAGTTTCAGGGGAGCCAATCTCCTCTTCTGTCTGCCATGGCACCAGGCATGCATGTGGTGCACATCCACACATGCACAGAAACAACTACATATATTAAATAAATAAAATAGATGTTCCTCTATTAATTAATTAGTTAATTATTGTGGTGCTGGTGATCAGAGCCTCGTGCATGCTAAAGGAGTGATCTGTCACTCTCCATTCCAACCCTAAAGATGTTCTAAAAATTTCAGCAGGTAAAAAGATGCTTGCCAGCAAACCTGTTTCCGTGAGTTCTATTCCTGGGACTCTGTGAGTGGAAAGAGAGTACTAACTCCCAAAGGTTGTCTTCTGACCTATACATGAACACAAAATACAAGTTTTTTTTTTAATCCTTAAAAAGTTTAGGGTAGAGATAGATAGATAGATAGATAGACGGACAAACAGACGGATAGATAGTATGACTGCACTGCAAAGGCACTCCTGTGCTTTCCAGGTAGAAGAGGCGGATAATGGAGGCTCAGAGACATTGCTGTGCAGGGACTAAAGATGAGGGCTGAGTAAAGGTTTTATCTTGGTGGCTGTTGGGTTCTAGGATAATGATTTACCAGGACAATGACTTGTACATTCCTACTTTAGTGTCAGACTGCTTCTGCCAAATAAAGTCACGCTGGTGACACATTGCAGCTCGCTGGCTTCCTAAGCATTCACTA